GAAAATTACTCCTTAGTTCCGCCAGCTTATGCCGACCCCTTCTGGGCAATTGTCTTGGCCATAATTACCCCCTCTGCACTGTGCTGGCAGATCTCTGTTATCAGATGTAAACTACCTGTGCTGGACACTCTGTCCTAACAAAGGGTTAAAGATCTCAAGCCATGGTATGTTAAAACGGACCTTTAACCATATCTTTAAAATAACAACAGACACACCTTTAGAAATGTTTAGTAATTACAATCTACAAACAGATACTTATAGAAAATTGCTGGCTTTGTATTCTTTGCATATCTTATTTCTCTTTTCTTCCCCAGTCTTCTGACAGCGGCCATGTTTACTAAGGGCAGGTTACTAGCTCTTCTATTACTTCCTGGATTACTGGCATATGTAACTAGACATGTGACTAGGACATGTGACCAGGCACATCATAGCGGTGGAAAACGCCTTTCTCTGAGATCTCGTGAAATTACAGATGAGATTTTCCCAGCAATGCTCTGCTGATGACAAATCAATCCCAGTGTGCATTGCATTGGCAAACTGAAGTTTGCACTTTCAAAGCAGGCAGTGAATGGTGTGCAAGTGTACTGTAAGTATTTCAAGATCACAGCACTTTACACCTGACATGTCTTTGTTATTATTAATCATCATACATAGAGGGATGGATTGGTAGAATTCAATTTATGAGTGTAAAGGTCCACTTTAATGCACTCAAAAACTATTCCTCAGTCTGTCCCCTCATCTCCACACTGCAATCTATTCAAAGCATAAGGAGCTTGCCTCTAGTGTTCTATCTGTAATCCTGCTCCAAAGACACTGAAATATAAGAAATATATTTTTAATTATTTTTCGTTATGCTGTGTGACTGGAAACACATAACAAACATATAGTGGGGGGTTTTCTCAATTTTTACTGCAAAAGCGGAACTACACTTTAAGCTTTGAATTGGCATCTGCTATTTATGTAATACAGGCCCTTATTACGGTAAGATATTCCTAACTATTCATATGTCATCCTGGATATTTTAGTAAAATGCATCATTTCACTCCGGCACTTATCACTGCCGCTAATATTTGAATGCAAGAAGCATAATTCATTCTCTGTAGGTTTGCATTAGCTTGTGCCTCTGCAAGCTTGCTTGTGAAACTCCTTTCAATCATACTTGTAGTCATACCTCTCCACATATGCTGCGCTTGCTGGGTTTGCTTAGATCATCCATCATTTATCAGGAGATTAAAAAGAGCTGATTTCTCCACATTGAAATGCTGTTGTGTTCACCGCGTTTGTTCTGGATGCTGCCAGTGGTTTGATGTGGCTAAATCCTTGTTTTAACCTGTTTATTGTACACCAGCAACTTTTCTAAATAAAGATAATGGATATTGAATGAGAAATCTTTTTATACCCCAGTACTTGGCTGATGACAGTACCCCACAGTGTGCCAAGGACAACATAGGGTGCCAGTATGTGGGATATACATGCCTGCAGGACTTTTGTTCTCCCTATATTAGGTTTTCAGTAGCATAGAATGTCATCCCTGCTTGAGTTCCGCAGTCTCAATTATTTTTAGAAACAATGTATAATCCAGTGCACATTGCTATTTTTGTTACTACATAGGTATTTATTACATTAAAATAACAACAGTATAGGGAAATTAAATATTACATGGAAAAAGTATTTGTGCCCTTAAAGAGACAGTAGAGCGAAAGTACCACTTTGTCCATATTAAAAAGGAATTCTTGGTCTACACCATTAAAAAATAGATATTTCAGATTGGATGGGTGTGCAGACAATTTAAAGGCTGAATGCACTGTAAAACGATTTGTGCGTATCCTTTTTGACCATGTCCCCTGACCCTAACCTAGCCAACCCTTCCCCCCCTACACTGGTGCATACTTATCTTGATCAGATGGCCGCTGTTCTGCAGTTTGTGTACATCCAGCACTGTCCTGGATGCTCCAGTGCATTACAGCTCCATAGGCTTCCATTGGTCTGTATCCGATCGGATCTAGCCTCAGGACACAGTGCATAGACATCTATGAGGTACTAATGTGCAGGCACTGCAAGAAGAGTAAAGACTCCCATTGCTGGATGTAAACAAACAGTGGAACTGCAGCCGTTGGAACGAGGTACAGTAGGTATACATGTGTGGAGAAGGAAGGAGGCAAAATGGATAAATACACTTATCCTTTCAATCCCATAATGAAGTCTAATATGTTGTGGTGACTCCAGAGGTAATATAGGCTAATTGCCATGGTCATGACATCGGTATTTTGGAACAACCAAATAATTAAGGTTGGGGTATGGAATACGATGTCTGAATAATAGAAAAAAAAGTTTCTCTGCATTATTGAACCTGAAATCAAATCGGGGAGAAATTGAGTTGATATGTATGATGGTTCACAGAATATACAGCGTTTTACTCAAATCAATTCACAAATGCAGAGGATGTGTAAAATAACTTTTACACATCATACTTTCATCTCTTTTGAGTAGGTTAATAAACTCTAAACACCTGGTGATCCTGCCATTCTCAATTCTGATTCCCTGCTTCCTGCGCTTTCCTACCAATGCTAACCACAGGTTCAGACTCGTGGTAGACTTGACAAACATGCCTAGTACCTACAGTAATGCGAATGGCAGGGCCCACTGCTAAAGCACACTGTGCCTGCAGTCCCGGTTGTCAGCCTGCCGAGAGTGACCATGCCCAGCCACCCATTGCATAGCACTGCCGAGAATAACCATGCCCCTACCTATTCTACATCCCCATTCTACATCCCTGCAAAGAGTATCTACACCCCCCCCACCACCCACTGCACCGTGC